TGACCAGGAGCGGATTATGGAATTGGCGAGGCGGACTCGGTGGAAAACGGCGGAGGATCTCTTGGAGGCGGCGGCGGGGGAAGAAGAAGGAGAAGGATCGTCAGTGCAGAGGCGGTGGATATCCTTGAAGGAAGAGCAGGAAAAGGGCGAGGAGGTGTCGTGAATCTTGACCGTTGATTTACCCCACGGCCGCCACATTGACGGTGGAGACGTGAGCAATTTTCGGGGGTTTTTTTTTTTTGGTTCTTTACTTGGGTTTGTAAAGATTTAATTTTTCTTTATATGAAAATTTTTGGAAAGTGGGTTTTGATTGCTTGAAGCAAAGGCTTTGGGTTGTATAGGCAAAGATAGGGAGGAGGGAAACAGAGGTTGGGTAAAAGGTTGTTGAGAGAGAGAGTATGTGTTGTTTTCTTCCTTCATGTGATTAACAGATGTCAGATATAATTTTTTTATAAATAATTTTTTTTCCTCACGTAATATTATATAAAAATATATACATACATTAGTCTAATTAGGCTGTTATAAGAGATAGGAATTCAACATGTCTAAAAATTATTAGTGCATGAATGTGATAAATTAGGTTAGAACTAGCAAGGAGGCAGGTTGGAGCTGGATTCTACACAAAACCGAATCCCCTTTGTACAAAAATATATCGTCCCAATCCAAGAACAAATCTCTAAAAAAATTAAGCTTTCTCTTTATCGTATGAGTCTGTAATAAAACTCACACGTCCTGTATCGTTTAACTAAAAATTAAAGTCGAAAACTCTTTAACAAGTTATGAAACTACAAAGATGCTAAAAAGAAATATCAAAAATAGAGATGAAGTACTAAAAGAATATCATGAATTTTATGATAAGTAATATATTCTAATTTTAGATAAATTTCAGTTTAAACTCAATAATAATTTTTAACGGATCGGACATTTTGATATATCATAAATTTTTTTATCATCTTTAAAGTTAAATTTTATCTCAATAAACTATTATAATTTCAACTATAATAACATTATATTATGTACCTATTAAATTTTTTCTAGTTACAATAACTATCATAAATTAATGCCCTAACTAATCTTCTAGTACTTAAAAAGAATTTTTTTTAAAAAAAAAAGTGAGAGATGATGGGTATGATTGGATAGATTATGAAACCTAAGTTATAATTTTTAAAATGTAAATTTCATTTGTTTTTATTAATCGTATGTCAATTTTTTTTTGTTAAAGTCAGTCAAAATGAATGTCTGCTCTTGGCATAAAAAATGGGGCCAAAGTCTGCTTTTTGTGAATTTCCAGTTAGCTTCCATTGGGAACCAACAGACCCACAATTTACAGAACTTGCATTTTTTATTTTTTATATATTATTTTTTAAAAAAAAAAAGAATTAGAGGAAGGATATTTTCAGTTCAATTTAAAGAATTTGCAAATTTTTCAGGATAAATTTTTATGCATTTTAATTTCTTATTTTTTATTCAATATTTTAACAAAAAATTTACATTTATTACATAATTTTTTTTTTCTAAAAATGTAATTTACATCTATTATTTGGATATAATATCAAGGTTAAAAATGTAGTATTGAATTCTTATGGAATAAATGGATTTATAACTTATCTCCACTTTTTTAACCTCAAAAATTAGCACATTCAACATTTAGGTTATATTTAGATAAATTCAAAAAATACAAAAAGTTCATTTTGTAAATTACACACTTAATTTAAAATATAATCAAAATCATACATAAAACGATAAAAATTGAATTCGTATAAAATTATATATAAAATTAGAATAATTCATTTCTCAAGATCTATTAAATTTTGGGATGTACGAGTTCAAACGTTTTTATTTTTTAATGAAATTTATATATTTTTTTTTTGTAATTAAAATACATTAAAATTTGCAAATAGATTTAACATAATTGGTAAAAAAGTATTACCCATTACCCATCTTATTAAATCTTGAAAGGAACATTATGTGTAGGACGGATACTCAAGTGGTAAAATGCATCTCTAAATTTGAAGTATCCCTTAATTCAATGTTCTTAATTATTGAAAGAGAAATCTAAAGGGTACAATGACAACTGTATGTTCATTACTTTTTCACAGTCAAGTAGTAACATAATTGTTTAGTTTGATGAAATAAGAATCTCCATTTTAAGAATTTGGTATGGAAATATTATTGTGTATATCTATACCTATGTACATATATGTATATATAAGAGTAATGATTGAGGAGGGGAGACGAACAATGGGGTAAGATGGGACCATAAATTATGAAGAGTAAAGGAGACAAGGCGTGTGTGTGTTGCAAAGCAATGAAAATAAAATGTGTATTGTTCTTACAAAAGGTAAAGTAAAGAAGAATAGGTTAAGAGTAGTAATTTGGTGGTGGTGGATTCTGAAAAGCTTCACGTGGTGGCAGAGGAGAAAGTGGAGGAATGAAGATTAGGTAACTTTCAGTAAAAAAAAAACAGGAAGAAGAACAGGTAAACAAAACCCACATGCTAATGCTTCTCACATGGAAAAAATTTTACATACATACATACATATATATATATATATATATATATGCCATCAATTTATTCAACATTATCTACTTAATTTAGATTATTTACTTATATGAGTTTGTGACTAATTTTTTAAAAAGAATGAACAAATTTTTTTAACTATATAAATTTTACAAGCAAGGATCAGGGCAGTGAATATATATATATATATATATATATATACATGTATTATTTATATATTGGACAATGTATGGTCAGCAAAATGGGCCAGTTGGTACTTCATTGCTGGAGGTTAGGGTGTCGTTATGTTGCTTAAAATAATATGGGTGGGGGTTTCCAGGCCTACCCACCAACTGGAAGCCCAAATTATATTTTTGGATTTTATGTTTTTTCTTTTAATTTTGTTCGGCCTTTCTGTCAGCTAAATACCCATTAGTAGTGAAGGACCTAAAAAAGGAAGACATCGCTTCATCTCTGTTTGTCTCTTTTACTTCGCAGGGTTTCTTAATTAATAATGTGGGACTTCATAATTCAAGAGAAAAGTTTAATTTTAATTATTATAATTTGTTATATTATACAAAAATCACTATATCCTCTAATCTGAAAAAACAATAATTTTCAACCTAGCATCCATTTTCTCCTTTACTATTGTATTTTATAGAAATATATATATATATATAAATAAAAATATGCATGAAATATGTCAAAAATATGAAGAGCCCATGTTGAAAGCCCGCAAGGAAAAGCCGAAGTTAGCAGATGTGATCCAGCCTAAAGTGGAATGTAAATATATATGATCTAACTTAAAAAGAATGTAAATATGTATGATCCGGCCTAAATAAGAAATGTCATATGGAAATCTTCTATAAAGAGGAAAAGCCCACTTAAAAGAGGAATGTGAATATGTGTATGTATATTTGAGAAACGGCATCGTATAATTATGGTGTAGGAATATCAAAATTTTTACGAAAACCCTATGTATAAATACCTAGTTTGTACAGATTGAGATACAAAAAATAAAAATTCTCTCTTTCTGAAAATTCTAGTCGAGCTTTTCACTTCTTCTGTTACATTCTTTGTTAATTTTTTTTTTAATTTTTTTTGCAGATACATCAATAACTATACGAAGATCTCTTAATTTTAACATAATGTTAGAGAAGATCGGCGAAGAAATCTCGACTCATAAAGAGGTTCAATCGTTCCTTAAGAAATCTTTTCGATAACCGGTAATATTCTCGATCTTGCAAACCCTAATAGTTCATATTATATAAATGGTAGTAATAGATTGAGTGCACTACTTGTAACACAATCTTTATATACAACAAACTATTATTTCTAGGTTAGGTCTGTACGAAGAACTTTGAGAATCAAAAACAAAAACTAGGGTTTACAGATGAAACTTTGAAATTTTCGATAAATCCCAACAATTTGCTTATGGATTATTGACTACAATGTAATAACATCGTGATTACTTTGATACAAAATACATTAATACCTGATATCAAGTGTAGAACATTTTATACCAACACTGCTTATCAAATTTGGATTTAGTTGAACTAAAGACATTCACAATAAAATGTCTCGATGATATATGAGGTAAAGTAAGTTATTGCTAACCTCATGCATAATCAAGACTCGGTGAGCATATATTTTTCAAAATTAAAGATGCTCTTTGATAAGCTAATGAATTATGAGTACATCCCAAACAGTTGATGACTAAAAATTTTAGTTGATTACCAATAGCGAGATTAGGTGATGAGGTTCCTCTTGGGACTAACAAGATAGTTAAAACTCAAGTTATATTTATAAAATATTTTTATTCTTTAAATAAAGTTTATTTAATAATTTAGTAAGAAAAAAATAAAGAAAGATTTTTTCAGATTCTGTAACAGAAAAAACTATATCTTTTAATATTAGAGATACAAATAAAATTACAAAATAAATTAATTCTCACAAACAAAAACACTACTATACTCACTGCAAAATCCTTATACCCTCACTATAGAGATGTTATAAAGCGAATCCAAACAAGCAAGTTTGATTATATTATAAGATGATAGGGCACACTATGAATAATTGTCACAAGTTATACGGATATCTTAAGGGGCACAAGAATTATGAAAAAGAAAAATTATCCAGTGTCAGCCCAGTTTCTTCAACGGACTCAAGTAAATTAGGAGATGAGCAAAAATAGACTATAATTACTCAAAAACAATGCACAAAATTCATGACAATACTATAGTCAACAACAAGGTAGCCTCCCTCATCACAAGCATCAAAAACAAATCGAATAGGATTT